TTGTGTTGTTATACTGTGCATGACTGTAACACCTAAGCCAGAAAGGGAATCCTTTTCTATACATTTATATTCACCCATGGCAACCATTACATTCGGATACATGATCAAAAAGATATAGCGTAAGGAGTTATAAAAGTGAGGGGAAAAGAAGATAATAAAAGCCCAAATCTATCAGGGGAAGGATTAGAGCTTTAGCCAAGTTTTAAAGCAGAACTAAGCACAAATAACAGCTCAAGCTAAAAAATATTCAATACATGTTATTAAACCAATAATCAAACATAGTAATGTATTTTGGGGAGCATGTCTCCGATGATGTCACAGTTATTCTCTAGGCTTTTGCCAGCTCTCCAGTGATCTTTCAAGTCCTCAAAAGCGCTTGGTGTCACAGCTGGTCACAAGTGCCGCACTATTGCAATCTCAGATCTAAGGTTATAAAAGGCTAATCTGGCACTGTCCTTGGAGGATAAAAGAAATAGATGGATCCACTTTCACATTTTTGCCATATGTGTCTTTATTTGAGTCCCCAAATTTATTCAGAACAGAAAAATAGTAGGAAAACCTCTCCAGTAGGGAAACAGCCCAAAATAAAGATTTTTGTACAGTGAGGAAGGGTTGGAACTTCTTGCAGTGTTTAATTGCTCTCCTTGCCTTCCTATCCTAATGGCAACTACTCCTCTCAGTTCTTGAAAGGGGCATCACAGGGGGAGGAAAGTGAGAAAAAAAAGTTCCAAAAAACGGGGAAAAAAAGGAATAAAAACACTGACAGAAAATGTGACTTTTCCTTTGATTCCATCCAAAAAATTGCAGGGCATATGCTGTAGACCTGAAATGGTGGCATAATGTAAGAAATGGGAAAATTGAACACATTAGCCCTGGAGAAGAATGAATCCAGATTCTGTAGGTAGTCTTTATATGTACTGTATATCCAACTTTAATTTGCAAGATACTGATAGCTTTAGCTCTATCACTTATAACCTTGTAATGTAAGAGGAGATTAATTATACATATGTAGCCTTGGAGAAAGTTGGGGGATATGTTTCAATGGTGAACAGAGAATCAGACCTTCACAGCTCCTCTACAACTGGTGTTAGACTATTAATTATTAATTTCCCTATGACCTAAATAAAAGATCAGATTTTATTTCATTTACATACTTGTACTCCCATATACCATGTCAGCTTCTTATCAGCTTGACAGGAAAAAGTCATTTTCTCTAAGAGTTGGTGAAATTGTCTTATAAAATCATGTAAAGGAAACAAATATGGGGCAGCCTGGCTGTCTATGACTAATCACAGACACCTCGCATTTCAGCTAATTCCTCCTGAATCTGTCAAAATTAAAGCCTTGGCCCTGTAGGCTCCACCTGCCTTGACAAAAGTCAATTTAAAAATGAACTGAGCAAGATCCTGTTAGATGCAGTCACTGTCCTGTAATGTCACTGTTTTCAGGTAGCTGTGGCACCAAATAGCCACCAGTGGATAATCCTCCATTCATGCTATTTAGCATGGATAGAGGAATTGATAGATGGACTGAACAAGAGAAAATCAAGCCTTGTATGGCTAGGCCTATGCCTGCAAAACTTTCTGAGTCACAGACTGATGACTCAGACTTTTGCAGCATGGAAACTCAAAATAAGTTGGGTTTACGTTTAAAACCAGAGGCTTAGTCAAATTGGAAGCCAAGGACCTATTATCAGATGGAGACCAACCATGGCTTACCCATTTTTTTCTCAATGCATGATTTCTTTTCATGAGACTTTCATTTTTAGGCTTGGTTCACACCAGCTGACTCCAAAGTCTCTCGATTTTCCATGAGACTTTGGAGTACAACTTTTGTTGTGAATTTGTTGAGTGCGATTTTGATCCAACTTTACACTTTATGGATCTAATTTGCACCAAAAGTTGCACCAAGGTAGTACAGGCACCTTTTCAAAGTCACTGTGACCTTAAGTCCCACCGATTTGAACAGGTACCATTGAAAATAATGGGCTGTGAGTTGATGTCCAAAATCACGTGACAAATCGCACAAGTGTGAATGGAGCCATAACAAGATTTGAAACTCCCTTTGTTAATTGGCTTGCCTGCCTCAAGTCCACGCATCCCAGCACTCAGGCTTCAGAACAGCTCAGAAATTCACTTTAAGTGAATCTTTTGTTTGTCCAGAGAAGCACAGTAAAGATTGACTGTGTTTTGAGCAGAAGCATATAACTAACGTTTTCTTGAACTTCTGCCACTTTGTTTAGTCTATGAGATCAAAGAAAGAGAGTTTTGTGTAAGCTCCAACTGACTTGTCAGAGCTGATACAGTGTTATGGACTACAACCCCAACTCATGTGACAGCGAAGGTAAAAAAAAAAAAAAAAAAAAAAAAAAAAAAAAAAAAAAAAAAAATAAAAAAAACAGACTTATGAGTCACCAGTCTTGTCCCATGGGACAGGAGGGGTAAGTAAGATGCCCACCCATACCAGGAAGTACCAGATAGTGTTGTGTAACCCAGGACTTTCTTCTGATGTGTTGTGTAACGCAGGAGTTACACACTGATATTGTAACCCATGTTTGATAATCCAGGATACCTGCTTTACATGTACTTGTGTTGTCTATTCTCTTCCAATTTCAGTCATATGACTTGGGTCTACTGACTAAAGTTATCTTTAACAATTCCCAGACAACCTGTTTATTCTTGGCTGCTCTGATACAAAAAGACTGCTTATAGAGCTCAATAGCTCAATAGGGCCCAGTGTTTCTAATTAAACCGTTTTTAAATGTAAATTGAGATATATGTAAAAAGTAAACAAAAAAAAATAAGAATTTAAAAGTGTATGAACTTAAAAAATGTAAAGGAAATCACTGCAAACCTATAGTTTGCCTTTAATAGTTTGGCTATAGTGTTGGTTTATACTGTTCAGGAATGGAAGCCAGAGTGACATAGTCCAAAGACAAATAATCATATACTATGTTTTTCTATGTGATTGATTTGTACAAACTCTTTCAGGAATATTCCAATTATTTAAATGAAAACATTGCTGTTTCTTGACATTGAAGGTATCACACAAAGGATAAATCAGAGATACTTATTTTGGCAGAAATAAACTTTATTTAAAAACTGTGTGAGGGCTTATCACCAGGCAGGATGGTGGGCTATGATATCACTAAACAGCTTCTGGCACAGGAGATACAGTATCTGCTTCGTCTTATCTCTGTGGAAGGAGCAATTCAACTGATAAGACACTTCAGTACAGTGCCACATTTTTACTTTTATTATTGACAAATGCAAATGGTAACCTTGAGCTTAAAGTGTAAAAAAAATCAACACATCTCTGCAATACATTCATATTTCCTCATTTTTATCCCTTTTAAAACACTGCATATAAAGAAACCTAGCTGTTGAGTCTGACAGAAATTTTAGTGAGCCCCAAACTTCCTGCTTGAGTGGACAACTCAGTTTTTGCGATGCAGTACTAATATCACAAACAGTGTTGTAAGCCTGCTCTGAATTTCTTTGCTAGGATGCTTATGTTATGGAATTAAGGAAAAGGTAAGATGTTCTGCTATCCAGAAAAAAAGAATTCAGGCAGCCCTGACCAGGGCCACCATTGAGGGGGCAGTTCATACACACATGTAGGGGGTCCGAGCTTCCCAAGGGGCCTGAGTATCCTGAGGGGCCCTTCTGCCCTGACTGTAGGTTTACTGAGGCGTCCTGAACTGCTTGCTCTGTTGTATTTTCCTTCAGTAATTAGATTAATTGACAGGCTCCTCCTGAACCTACAGCCTCTTTGTTTCGCTAGCGGTTGTCACATGACCATGGTAGAGCATGGTTCAGTCAAATTGAGGCTGGGAGAGAAAGACAGAGAGTGGAACAGTAGTGTATGCCTGAGAGGACAGGGCCACATTGATTAGTCACACTGACACAGCCGGGATCAATTTGGAGCTTAGGTGGTTGGTGGTAACATGGCGGTAAAAAGGAAGGGGAGTCTGGGGTCGCTTTCAGAGTCCAACCTGCCCAATGAATTTAAGTGCTAGTATTGCTGCCACACAATTCCTGTGAGCTGAGCTGAAATTCCTGCAGACTGGGATTATAGAGATGCTGAAGGACTACATGAGTGGATGTGGGCATGTGCTACCAGCCTGTCTGTGACTGTCTCTTTGCTGGATTGGTCTGTGACTGTCTCTTTGTTGGATCAGGATGTCACTTTGTTGGATGGAGATGTCTCTTTTCTGGATTGGGCCATCTCTTTGCTGGATTTGGATGTCTCTTTGCTATACAGGGCTGTCTCTTTGCTGGATGGGGTTGTCTATTTGCTGAATTAAGCTGTATCTTTGCTATATGTGGCTGTCTCTTTGCTGATTTGGGATGTCTCTTTGCTGGATGGAGATGTCTCTTTGCTGAATTGGAGTGGGCAGGCCCAGGGAAATGTTGGTGGGGGCCCCAGGCTTAAACCTGTGTAAGGGGCCCCAACATTTCTGATGACTCAGCTAGCACTGACATCACTACTTGGTATTTTAGAGTAACATAGGCATAAGTGTCAGCTCAAATAGACATTTAAGAGCAAAGTGATGAGATGAACATTTAAATAAGCCACAAACAATATGAGCCCAGTACACCATAACTCAGTATCAGACATGAAGCTGACCATAATAAATTTCAGTTAAGACTAGAGATGAGCGAATTATTCAAAAATTCGATTCGGCTGATTCGCCGAATTCGCGGAATAAATTCGATTTGAGGCGAATATATTCACTGCGAATTTAACGTGTAAAAAGGGTGTTTTTCTAGGCTTCAGAGAGCCTTTATATTAGTGCAGAACACTGTACCTTTAATTTAAATGCCCTTGGAGTCTGCTGGGGAAGAGAAATAATACTGTCAGTCAGTATGACATGCAGATGAGTGCCGTCGATCTTAGAATCACCGCACACTTCACTCATTTGGGCAGTCACAGGGCCAAAACCAGAGTGTGGAGCCACAGTGTGGCGGTGGAGGCAGCAGCAATGGGAGGAGGGCATACAGCACCCTATGACAAAATGGAACCCACCAGCAGTGTGAGGAGACCTGAAAGTGGCACATGGCAGAGTGTGGCCATGGAGACAGCAGCAATGGGAGGCCGTACAGGCACCCATGACACACTCTGGACCTGGCAGCAGCATGAGGAGGCGGTACAGGGGCCCATGACAGATTACGGGCCTGGCAGCAGCATGAGGAGTCGGTACGGGGCGCCCATGGCAGATTACGGGCCTGGCAGCAGCAATGGGAGGCCATACAGCACCCTATGACAAAATGGAACCCACCAGCAGTGTGAGGAGACCTGAAAGTGGCACATGGCAGAGTGTGGCCATGGAGACAGCAGCAATGGGAGGCCGTACAGGGACCCATGACACACTCTGGACCTGGCAGCAGCATGAGGAGGCGGTACAGGGGCCCATGACAGATTACGGGCCTGGCAGCAGCATGAGGAATCGGTATGGGGGCCCATGGCAGATTACGGGCCTGGCAGCAGCAATGGGAGGCCATACAGCACCCTATGACAAAATGGAACCCACCAGCAGTGTGAGGAGACCTGAAAGTGGCACATGGCAGAGTGTGGCCATGGAGACAGCAGCAATGGGAGGCCGTACAGGGACCCATGACACACTCTGGACCTGGCAGCAGCATGAGGAGGCGGTACAGGGGCCCATGACAGATTACGGGCCTGGCAGCAGCATGAGGAGTCGGTACGGGGGCCATGGCAGATTACGGGCCTGGCAGCAGCATGAGGAGGCGGTACAGGGGCCCATGGCAGAGTGGCGGAGCGTAAGCAGCTAAAATTGAAGGCAATACAGAGGCCTATGTTAAAAAGCCCCCCCAGCAGCAGCGTGGGGAGACGACGACTAATAGTCGTCTCCCCACGCTGCTGCTGGGGGGGACTTTTTAACATAGGCCTCTGTATGGCCTTCAATTTAAGCTGCTTACGCTTCGCCACTCTGCCATGGGCCCCTGTACCGCCTCCTCTTGCTGCTGCCAGGTCCAGAGTGTGTCATGGGTCCCTGTACGCCCTCCCATTGCTGCTGACTTCATCGCCAGACTCTGCCATGTGCCACTTTCAGGTCTCCTTACACTGTTGGTGGGTTCCATTTTGTGTGATAGGGTGCTGTATGGCCTTCCATTGCTGCTGCCTCCACCGCCACCCTGCGCCATGTGCCTCTGTCGTCTGCTCATGCTGCTGACGGCTTCCGCTTTTTTAACCGAGGCCTCTGTGTTGTGCTTCCGAATACTGCTGCATACCACCGCCACCCCCTGCGCCATGTGTCTCTGTCGTCTGCTCACGCTGCTGCTGACATGGCTTCCGCTTTTTAACCTAGGCCTGTGTATGGCTTCAGAATAATGCTGCCTACACCACCGCCACCCTGCGCCATGTGCCTCTGTCGTCTGCTCAACGCTGCTGCCAGGTCCATACTGATTCATGGCCCCCTTACCGGCTCCTCATGAACGTGGTTCAGCGGGTTTGCATCACTTAACGGCAAATCGTTTGACAAATGCTGGGACGTTCCAGGTGTTGTGCGCATTAAGCCAGACACCAAAGGGCAGCACAGACCTGTTATTACTCGCTCAAGCAAGGCTGAACAAAACCAGTCTCTACCCAACAAATTAGACCCAGACCTGCCCAGAGGTCTCGTAAGTAGATTTGCACGGAGGAGTAGAGTTCGTTATTGGAATTAACTGTGAGGGACTTTTTAAACCTAGGCCTGTGTATGGCCTTCAATTGAAGCTGTCTTCTGCTCTGCCACTCTGCCATTGACTCTTGATAGTCGTCGACAGCAGAAACCAGTGCCGTATCAGTAAGCTTTATCACGGTGGAATGCCCAGGCATCCTACAAGAATCGAAATGGCGACACGCTGCATATGCTGACGCAACGCTGTAAAGTCCCAACATGGCCATCCTGGCACAGCTTGACTTTCGTGGCCACAAGACAGTCGAACATATACAGGCTACGTTACTTCCTCGGGTGGCTTGACGCCAACAGCAAATTTGCCACACCGCCGAGTAGGAAAACTTGGAACCCACCATACTCCTCACTGGCTGACAGTCATACGACAATACTCATCGAGTCCTCCGTGCACACCAACACCACTACTGGCCGTGGTGGTATGGCTGCAGTGAAAGCTGGTGCTCTACCATCCGTGGCCGTTTGCCTCCACTGACACTGCTGCGACCCTGCTGCCTCCTGGGCAACCCACCGACACTTGTTTTGCTCGCTGCCAGCTGCCACCCTCTTCCATCCTGATGATGCGGAAGCAATAGCCTGATGACGAACGTGGCTGGACCAAGTGCGATCAGCCTCATCCATCATCAATTAGGGTCTCCAAAAACGCGACACTACTTAGCCCCCACATCGGCTGCGTGTGGGTTCATGCAGGAGACAGACCTCCTGTCTCTAGACCGGCTAAATAGCCACTCTCCTCGCCAGTACTTCTCCGCCTGGCTGCTGAAGAGGCGGATGTCTCCCCCCCGGTCCTGACCCGCATGACCCTCTGTTAAGCTCTTCCTTCACTGTACAGTGGGGCTTTAAACGAGCCCACAGCAAGGCGATACTTTACCTCGTGTTCGCTGGTGAGTAAGGAACACCCAAAGGACAGGGGAGCAGGTAAGAGGACACAGTTCATTTCAGTGGAGCTGCTTGCTCCCGGGGCTGTGTTATGCCAACTAAAGGTTGTGTCAAAGACGTACCCACCGACCGTTGCATTGCTGTAGGTTGTCCAGAGGTGACCTCATGAAGAGGAAGACGACCGAGTCAACCAATCGATGACGGCATGGTTGTCGGTGGAGACACCACCAAGTCTGGATGACATCCGGAGCACTACTGGCCTCTTGGCTGCGACTAGTGCTGCCTCGACCCCTTCCTCTGCTGCCACGTCTGCTCAGCATCCTGAAACATTGCCTCCTCTGCCACTCCTCTGCGTGTTGTCTGACATACTCTTTAATTCAATAAGTGATGGTTGTGAAGCAGAAAGTAAACGATTCTGTGTCCCTGAGTAACAATTCTGTGTCCCCCGAGTAACGATTCTGTGTCCGCCCTAGTAACAATTCTGTGTGTCCCCGAGTAACGAATAGTGTGTCCCCAATTTTGAACAGAGTAAAAGCATTCTGTGTCCCTGAGTAACAATTATGTGTCCCTGAGTAAACGATTCTGTGTCCCT